CACTAGTGCTGAAAATTATATTCTATTATTTTTGTGCAGAGGCACTCTTTCCACTTAGGCTGTGTGCATTTACAGATTGAATGAGGAATTTAACCACTACTTGTAATATTAATTCCATGAGAATCCTTATAAGCTTCCAACAATCAACTTACAAATGCATTCTACAAATATCACTTTTTTATTTTAAAAAAAGGAGGCTACATGTTTATTCATCAATTGGTTAGATTTATAAGAAATAGATATTATTCACACTATTTTATGGATATGAGAACCCAGGCACAGAAATAGTAAATGATTTCCTTGGTCCATGTAATGAGATCAAATATGAACCTAGAATGAAAGATTAAATCAGATTCTTAATACAGTTATGCTCATTAACTGTACATCTCAGGCTAGGAATGTAGCTCAGTGGTACAGTGCATAGGCCCTGGGTTGAGACCCCAACACTGAAAACCAAAACCAAAAACCATAACCTACCATAAAACTAAACCAAACGAAAAAGAAATACAACTCCACAACTGCAATGTAGCGTGTTACAACAGAGTGAGATCCTTCTTTCGGTGGGAGTTAGGTAGTATCTACCTACCACACAGTGGAAAATTAGTTGATCATGGTAAAATCTAAAAATTTAGAAAATACCAAATTCAAAGTCTCCAGAAATCCATCATGCCACTATTACTTATTCTTCAAGAAGACCTATGTGAATTGGAATGGACTTTTTGAATTTCAGACTGTTTCACTTCCTAAGTAAGGAAGCCTAAAGACAAACTGTGAACTTAGCAAATGCAAGAATTTAGGAGCAAGATGTCTGTAAGTGATAGTGGTTTAGGGAACTATATTTACAGTCTGCCACCAGGAAATTTTTGCTCATTTTTTAAACTAAATTCCAAATACACACATTATACCCTGAGGACTATTAAGGTCACAGACCAGCTTTTAGAATTAGACGCTGAAATGCAGTTCCAAATGATTTCCTATGTTCCTTAGTACTGAATGAGAACTAATGATTCTGAATTGATATCAGATTTAAAAATAAACAAAAATTGGGGTCAATGGAAAAAAATTTACTGGCAAATTTTTACTTGTTACTACATATCAGGGGTCTGCATTGGGAATAAGGGTAGATAGTATCTAGAAGGGCATCTAGTTAGCATATAATTTTTATCTCATCTTCAAAGATCTTTGTTTAGATCTCTAATTTAGCCTGTTCTTACTATAACTCTTAGCATCTGAAGTCTAGGACTAATTCCTTTTATCTTAATGAAGCTGATAAGTCACTACTTTCTTGAATCACTACTTTACTGTAAATATTTTACATACTTGGGAAATCATTAACTAAATTTCTTCCATTAACAGGATAACCACATTATTTTAAGCCCTCCCCAAACATCTTATTTATCTTTAGATTTGTCTTTCCAGGGCATCTCTTATGACTTTGAAAATATCTGCCAACACTTGGTACTTTTACATGAGCTTCACAAATACCCAGCATTCATTTCTTCAAACACTAATAAAGTTTTATTGGTAAAGAACAACACTGTACCTTGAAACAACATTCTAGCTATTGGGGTAACTGATCTCATTGCTTACATTCTAGTGGGAAAATGTAATAAACCAGTAAACAAATAAGTATCAGACTGAAGTTAAGTGATGTGGGAAGAAAAAAAAGTGAGAGGTGGGAAGGCCTCTTGTAAGGTTGTACTTGATTTGAAACCTCTAGCAAGGCAGTGGCCCTGAAAAGACATGAAAAGAATGTACTAAGTAATTTTTTGACTAAAGAAGGGTTAACTCATTATTCTGTTATGTATTTATATGCATTCTTTATGAATTATATAATCTTGCACTGCTCCCTAGTAAATCTTCCTTTTCTTATTTTGAAGACTAATTCCACCTTTTAAAAGCTTTTCATTACCTCCTTCACTGGTATATCCATAAGATTAAGAAGCAAGCATGTCTTCTAACTCAAACAAGTATTTCCTAGAAATGTTAGCCAATATTTAGCTTAGGTGTTCCTGCCAAATAACATTTGATAATGATTTTAAAATAACTGAAAAAAATCTTTGTCTTACTGAATAGGCTAAAATGAGTCTTCTAGAAAACAATTTGGTGGATACTTTATAGGTAAAACAGGTTGAAAGGAAACTGGCAGAAAATGACTCAAACAGAAGATGAAGTTAAAGGCAGGATGAACGATTGATGGGCCAGTGGAATATGGTAGTAGTGAAAGAACCTTGCAGAGAAGTTGACAGGTCATGAACATGGGATGAAGAAGAAAACAAGTAGCAAGGCTGGGAAACCCTTCCCTCGAATACCAGCTCTTTGAGGCATGCTGCCACCACCTGGGCAATAGGCAATTTTGAATTACAGTATTTAACAATTTTAGATACCAGTTAACAATTATAAAATGAAAAACATACTTTGATTTTTATGAAATAAGCATTTTTGTCAAGTCTTTGAGCATGAAAAACAGGGAGGAATTTTGGTGAGATGTGTTTAGAATCCTGCTCTATTTTTTAAGTTCTGGTTCCTCCCCTGTAAAATATGGGCAATACAGTTCTGAGGGATCATTTATAGTCTCAGAATTAGTGATAATAAATCAAAAGCATCTAGCTCAATACCATTATAGAGTATGCACTCAATAAATTGTTTTGAAAACTTTAATTTTTCTTCAGTATAATCTTACAAATAGCACTAAACCTAATTACTCCTTTAAGTTACATAAATATGCCTATAAGAAATGTATTTGCATAATGTTTCAAAGGAAAGGGAAAAAAACTCACGAAATAACACTTAGGGAAGAAGTCAATTTCATTAGAATTAAGTCAAATAAGTGAAGAGTTACTGCAGAGAAAAAAGCATATGTGCAGGAGAGAGTTCTCAAAGTTTTTAAATCAAATTATTATTAAAATATGTTATTTAGGTTTCACTCCTTCACAATTTTGACATGTTAGGGTGAAATATAACTTTGTATCTCCCATGGGAAAAAGGCTTTTATATCAAACATATGGCAAAAATGGTATTTGGAAAGACATTTGAGAAAATAAAAGCCAGGTCAAAATCTTCTCAAAAAAATAATAAGACTTTAATATGCAGTGATATTTCTACTAAATACCTTTATTATGCAGCTGTTTATGAAGCTTAAGTCAGAAAAAAGGCCAAATATGGTCTGATTTACAGATTTTTTATTTTGTAGTGCTGGGGATTGAACCCAGGACTTCTTTACACATGCCAAGCAAGCACTCTACCTTAAGCCACATCCCTAGCCTCCAGTCTACAGATCTTAAAGCTGAAAGGGTACTCTAGCTCACCTAGGATCCTTTCCACATATGGAAGAGGTTCGGAGTGACTTATCAGAGATTGTATAAAGATCAGTGCCATGACTCACAGACGAAGACTACTCACTATAGAAAGCAGTTCACTGTATCTGAACAAATTTTATCACCACCATTTGTTAAGGTAAGGCAGAATGCAGTATGGAGCTGCACTGTGGAAATCCTCATGCTTCTGGGCTAGCAATCTGCCCTGTAAACTGAAGCTAGATTAGTAAAATTAGACTGTGAAGGCCTGATCTGGGTTACAGTCAAAGAGAGGCTTCAGAAGCTTCCTCCTTACAGGTCCTTTTCTTTCTGTTTAATATTCCTGCGCCTTTTATCAAAGAGGCAAATACTGGGAGGCAGTACTTGAGAAAACTAAGTCCAAGATTAAAATAAAATACCCACACATTGGCCTCTGAAGTGAAAGATAGTGAAATAATAAACTCTGACCCCATTCTGGATTCAGTACTTGGGCAAGTTTTAAGAACAATAAGTCGTACAAAGTTTCCTGCAACACAATCCAGTTACTGAATCTGCTTTTTCTGACCACTAGAGGTACAGGCTAGGTCTAAACCACTATCCAGGTTTTCCAAGAAGAATGAATAACAACTGTTGGTAATACAACATACAAACATTAACATATGTTCAAGGAACAGTATTTTAGATTGTTAGATTATCTGCCAAAAGCCTGTTACTTAGTAAATAATAGTTACTGTTGTACCTAAACTAGTTATACATGTTGCAGCTTGCTCCTCAAAGAGAACATTCTATCGTCTTTCAAGTATAAAAACCTGCTTTATTTGGCACACAACAGTGAAGAGGTCTTGCAACATTTGCCAGAGGTAGACAAACAGAGCAAGCAGTTCAGTGCAATCACAAAATTTGAGCGCCAACCAAACCAGAGCTAATTTTTCAGTTCCTGTAGATTAGAAGACAATATTAACTCACCCTTTCTGCTTGTTGACTTTTGCATCCCTTTATTTGTGTACTGAAAGAACAAGTACCTCTGTGGGTACTCTATGCCCTGACAACTTAATTATTTATCAAGTTTACTTTGGGCAAATGTTGATCATTCTTTTGTTAAATGAGTTAGGCTCTTAAATTAAAAACAAACAGACAACAACAACAAAAAACCCCTTTCCCACAGCATGGCAGCATTTCCCCTTAGTAACAAGGTTCAGTGGATTCATCCTACCCCAGCTGCTATTTCCCCTCCCGAACAGGAAGACTTAAATATTGTGCAATCGTGAGAGGGGAACCAGGTGAGTGGTGAACCAGGCAGAACTATCCAGTCTTTCAAGGATCTTCGAGGGGCACTCGCCCTGACTTTGGGGCGGTGTGTGGGAACTACCTCCTTTCTTGACCCTTCCCCGAGGCCAAAGACATCACCACCAGGACCTCCAACAACGGTGCAGCTTCAGCAGGAGAGGGAGCTGTTTCCCGACTCACGTCGGGGGCACAGGCAGGCGAACCTATCAGTTTGGGGCCCGCTCCCGAGGCAGCCCCACGCCTTCTCGCCCACCTTCCATTCCCGGGCAGGAGGCCCAGGTTTCTGGCCCCCGGGGGAGCCCAGTGCCACCGCCCACACCGCAAGGCCTCACCTGCCGCTCCCCGGAAATCTCCACGCTGCCCTGCCCCCGCCCCCGCCCCCCACGTCCTCTGAGTGAAGGTCCCGGGACCCACAGCAATGGCGCAGCCGGAAACTAGCCCCTCGACTTCCTCACGCCGGACTCGGAGCTGGGGCCTGCCTGTGGGCGGTACGCAAGGGACTCGACTTCCGCCTTCCTGCTTCCGGTCTGGCAGTGAGTTGTAAGTGGGAGCCCGTGCTTTTGGGGCGATGCAGAGCGGCTGATGGCGGCCTCTGCAATGGTGTCCGGGTGTCGGGCAGAGGTGGCCGCAGCGCAAGGTGTGGCGGGGCCGACCCGGGTTCCCCGAGGCCCTCTACTCTGCGAGCCCTGCCCGGCCTGAGGCGGGATGAGGGCCTGCGCTTGCTGGGTCGAGGGGCAGGGATAAACGTGGCTCCCACGGGCCCGTTGCGGGAAGGAAGAATGAGCAAAGGGAGTCCTAAGGAAGGAGGGCAAGACAAAGGACTGAGTATGGCTGGCTGTCCAGAACCACCAGCTGCAGCTTCAGGCGCCAGGCAGGGCTGGCCGGGAGATGAGCCCCATCGATCTATTGGGCGGAAGAAGAGTAGTATCTGTTCCTTACAGTGTGAGGCCTGGGCGTCTGGTAGGATATTGAGGTGCACTAGAGATGTGCGGCCTGTGGACAACGCCTTTATGTAAACAGTAAAACTTTGCCATAAACCAGGTCCTTCTCCCTGGCTTAACGTTGCAAAGTTCTTTTGCTTATTCACTAAAACTTAATTAGTGCACTACTGGGCTGAAGAAGGATCCATTTTAGTAGAACCCGGTTCCAATTATGGGTGGCGACGTTTTGAAGTCGAGGGCTAGTGTATTTAATGTCATGTATCGTAAGTTGAAAATAGAGGCATGATTTTTGTTGAAAATGAGAAGAAACTGGAAAGATGGATTTGAAACCAATGACAGTTTTTGCCTGATGGTATTGGGGATAATAATTGGCTTTGTTTATCTTTTCTGATTTTCCTAAAAAAGGACACGAATCGCAATAACAGTTAAAAAAATACCTTTGAAGAGTAAGGCTAGGTGTTTGATTTTTGTAATGATGTACTTAATCTAATGAATAAATGAATGAATGGATATCAACCTTTCTGGTATACAAAGTTCAAGTTCTAGAAATAGATATGGTGAAGTGAGCCAGCTTGTCTTACAAGTCAGTGAATATCATAAATAATTTTATTGAAATAAATAATTCTGTAAAATACTTGATTTCCAGTAATTAGGATTTCCCTACAGGGAATTATAATTGTGTAAACTCAGATTAGGAAAAAAATAGGTATTTAAAAGTTTGTAATTGACAGTTACATGTTACAGAATTTAGAAATTTTCCATGTGAAAACATTACAGTTATCCTGAAAGTTCTGACTTAAATGTTTTCTCTCTTCTCTTCTACTTATCCATTTTATAGAATTTAACGCTCTCAGAAGTATACTGTGGAACCAAAGAAGGTAAAACCACCAAGGGTCATCAGAAATTGTGCTTGGCTCACTGATAATCCCCGGACAAAATTAGAGATCACTACTCAAGCATAAGGTAGATGATTTTTTTGAATCTTAGCAGACATTTTTAAGTATATTTACACCCATACCCTACCCAGGTATTTTAATTCTCCAGTTTGAATAGAGATTAGCACAAACATGAAAGGTACAAAAGCCTGTGGGCCAAAATAGAATTTGTCATTCAAGCTCATCCAATCCTTATTTGCCAGATGACTTCCCTTATCAACAGAAAAAGGAACAAAATGGATGTCACTTTTTATGATAACTTTTTTCTTTTATTTCATTCAGTAGGGGTCTCCAAAGCTGAAAGGGCATAAAATAGCACACACTTTTTAGCTTATACCTTTTGGCATATGAATGTAGGTATCATCCTGGCTCCCTTGCCTTTTTCTATTCCATTTCAGGAAATAGCCATCTATCACTTTCCTTTCCATGGGAATGTGTTTCATGCTTTGGGGCTTGTCCTTTTTTAAACATAAAAATTTGATTTGTACTTTTGTTAATTACCTGGTAGTACTGAGGATACATTAAATTACAAACAGGATTCAGCTGTTTCCTGAAATGAGCATGTGAAACAGACTCTTGTAAAAGTGTGCTGTTAGTTTATCTTGAATTTAGGAAGCATATGAGAACTTAGTAGTCCTTGAGACAGAGTTCAAATAATTTTTACTTTTGTTTCCTATAAATTTACATCTTTTAAGTGTTACTATTCTGGCTGCAGGTAATGGCACATGCCTGTAATACTAGCAACTGGGGACACTGAAGCAGGAGGATCACAAATAAAACGGGCTGGGATGTAGCTAAGTGGTAAAATACTCTGGGTTCAATATGTAGTCACCTTTTCCCTCCCAAAAGTTGCTATTCTGGTTGGCCTAGTTGAATTTTTTCCCCCTCTAACTGGAGTTATTAGTCCTTATTAAAAATAGTATTAATTTGTACTTTAAAAAAAATTGAGTGATAATGGAATTGTGAGTTAACTCTGTAACTTTTTTCAGAATTTTGATTAATCATACAGTCTTTTTCCTGTTGTCCATCCCCAGCTGACCCCCCAGTTTTCCTAAGACTGCTACAAAGATGTTTGACATAAAGGCTTGGGCTGAGTATATTGTGGAATGGGCTGCAAAAGACCCATATGGGTTCCTTACAACAGTTATTTTGGCCCTTACTCCACTGTTCCTAGCAAGTGCTGTACTGTCCTGGAAATTGGCCAAGATGATTGAAGCCAGGGAGAAGGAACAAAAGAAGAAACAAAAACGTCAAGAGAATATTGCAAAAGCTAAACGACTCAAAAAGGACTGAAGGAATGTATAGGCTCTGCAACCAGAGAAAAATCATTTGGAAAATTATGCAGCTTTGGAAGGACTCACTAAGGTTTCTTTGGATTTCATGATAGTATTATTTAGTATGAAATCTGATCATGTAGAAGAATCATGTTTTGACCTCCATACTGTAGTTTTAGGCTTGGGTACCGAAGTTTGTAGGTATCTACTGGCAGTTATAAATAAACATACATACAGGTTGAGCATCCCTAATCAGAAAATCTCAAACTTGGAATGCTCCAAAATCCAAATTTTTTTGTGCACCAACATGATGCCACAAGTGGAAAATTGCAGTAAAAACACAAGTATGCTAAAAATATATAAAAATACCACATAAAATTACTTTCAGTCTATACGAAACAAATGAATTTTGTGTTTAGACTAAGGTTCTGTCCTCAACACATCTCATTATGTATATGCAAATATTTCAAAATCTGAAAAAAATCAAACACTTCTGGTCCCAGACATTTCAGATAAGGGATACCCAACTTAACAATACAAATTCTTCATAGGTGATTAAGTTATTTGCCATTTTGCAGCTTTTGTACTGAAATGATTATGGAGAAATGAGTTTAGATTGTGAACTTTATTCAAATAGTGGCTTAAAATGGGATCCTGTTCTGAACAAAATATGTTAAGAATATAAGACAATTATCCTTTCTGAGGTGAAAAGTTTGTTCTTAAAGGAGATACAGTATATTAATCACATCTTTTATCATTATTGCTTATTCCTTGGAATGTACTCATTTTTGGATTTCTCAAAGTAAAATAGTATTAATGAGTATACAAGTCTGTTTTCTTCTTTTTTTTTTTTTCTGATTTTAGCCTTTAAGACAACTGGTGATTATCAAGACATTCTCATTTTTAAAACCTAATTTTATAAAGAATTTTCTTGATTATGTAGAATACTGTCTTCTGGTTATAACAGTCTTTGTACTTATGAACATTGCCATTTTCTTAAGAGATGTGTTGTTGAGAAGAATGACACTATGATTTAAAGCTTGTAGTAAAAAGGCCAAATACTGTAGTATCTTGGAACCATTTTATTTTTGTGTTATATAAAACAGTGAAACAGTGAAAAAGTTTTATCAGGTAATTTGTTGGTTATATAGATGGCACTTTTGGTTTTATTCCATTCTTTAACTCATAGGTAGTGATGTCCTGTACTTTTTGATCCAAAAAGTTTGAGGTAAAAATTGAAATTTCATATTTTTTTTAATAGAGTTAACAGCTAAGCCATAACTTCTTCAATGGTAAGAAAGGCTTAAAATTTGGGAAGATTTTGTCGGGTATAGTAATAATTGTACAAATAGAATAAAATTGTATTCAAAATGAGAATCATATAATTCAAAGTACAGAGCTAAAGGATCTCTCCTTAAGTAGTATAACTGGAACTTTGACTATTAAACATGGCTTTTCTAAATGCATGGTCCAGTAATTTTATTCATTGTATTTAATAGCTTATTAATGTTTCTGCACCTCTGAGAATGAATATTAAGTAATTGTCCAACAGCTCTCATTTTAAAATGAAACCAGATAATGAAATAAATTTGATACTTTTATAAGAGGTCCTGGGTTTTTGTCTTTTTTTGGGAGAGAATAATAAGATATGTAAGTTAGACTTTCAAAGGGTTATGAATTTCCCTTGTACCTAAATGTATTTATAAAAGCTTAGGACAGTGTTTCTTAAATTTGAGAACCTAAGGATTTTTGAGAATGGTATGGACCAGTTTGAATAACACTTAATGTTATTTTTAGGTTACCAGTACCTACTTGAAGCTAGTATAATAGACACGTTATAACGCCAGACATTGAAATAATTCAATGTTTAATTATAAGCTGGTTGTTCAGGTGATCTAGGATATGCTTTATATATTATCTTTAAAATTAAAACTTGCTTATACAGAACTCCTGGTCTTCATGAGTCTGCAGAGCCCATTTTAAGAAAAACTAGGTTAAGGTAAATCCAAAATGTTAGGGTGTCTGTAGTTAAGCTGTTCATGGAAAGAATTTATATACATATTTTGCTTATGGAATATTTTAGAGTAATAAAAGCATTGAAGCAAAGAATGTGGTCCTTATAATTCTTACTTCTCTTACTAAAGCTGTGGTTTCACTGGTTCTGTTGTAACAATTTAAAAGTATTTTTCTGTGATTTGTTAAAGTTGTAACATTAATTTTTTATATTTTTTTTGCCATAAGCTATTTGTTTTTTCTTCAGCTTTTCTCAACATTTATAGAGCCTTTTTTATGGTGAGTTCAAGTTTTTTTTTTTCTTTAAATATATATTTTTTAGTTGTAGGTGGACACAATATCTTTATTTTATCTTTATGTGGTGCTGAGGATTGAACCCAGTGGCTCACACATGCTAGGTAAGCGCTCTACCTCTAAGCCACTACCCCAGTCCTTCAACAAGGTTTTATAATATTTATGTATGTTTGGGGAGGAGGCATAAAGCAGAGAATATTGTGAAGTTTGGGATTCTAAAAAAAAAATTCCGTCTTCTCTCACCTTAATAAACATTATTTTTTTAAAAATCCCATTTATTCAAAATACAACTTTTTAGTTTCGTTTTGTTGACTATTAAACATGGCTTTTCTAAATTGAGGACTGAACTCAGGGACACTTGGCCACCGAGCCACATATCCATCCCTATTTTGGAAACTATCCCCAGATTGCCTCTAATATTTTATCAGAAATATATAAATAGAGGGCTGGGGTTGTAGCTCTGTGGTTGAGTGCTTGCCTTGAATGCAAGAGGCACTGGTTTCGATCCTCGGCACCACATAAAAAAATAAAACAAAGATATTGTTTCTGTCTAGATCTAAAAAAAATAAAAGATATATAAATAGATTGTGTGTCAGAATTTGACTCTTGATATCCACTACTGCTGTATCAGATGTGTAAGTGCATTTTTGAAACTTTAAGAATGGACCTACTGAAAATGAGCTTAGGAAGCTTTGGGCAGGAACCCAGGACTGAAATAATAATTAACTGTGCCTCATTCCTTTGTCATTACATGTTATAAATGAGAGGAAACTTGATCTTGTTTAGGAATTATTGTTTTTATGTTTGCATATGGTTAGAGGAAATCACTGATTTAGTAGAATATATTTAAGGACAATTTCTCCATTTCTCAAACATAGGAAAAGATTCCATGGTCAGATACCTAAAGTTTGGGAAACATAAGCAGAACTTGGACAAGTTTCTTTTCTGCATGATTTCTTGGAGTCTTTAACCTAATATGACTGCCATGGATTCTCCTTTGTACCACTTTTTTCCCCAAAGAACATAACACAGTTTGGAAAAACCTAATATAAATACATTCAGGTTACACTTTTAAATAAAAGAGGTAGCATTAAAAAAACCAATATAGTGGTTTTGATTCAGGGTTAATTAAGAAATAGCAAGAAATCTGTTAGAAAAATGGAGAAGACTTATTTCCTCCATTTTTGTTGGTTTTTATACCCTTTTTTGTTTTTTATTATTACTTTTTGTACCAGGGATAGAACCCAGAGCACTGTACCACTGAGCCCCATCCCCAGCCCTTTTTATTTTTTATGAGACAGGGCTACACTAAGTTGCTGAGGCTGGCCTCAAACTTGTGATCCTCTTATTTCAGCCTTCTGGGATTACAGGCATGTACCACCATGTCTGTCATTTTGTTGGTTTTTAACTTAAAATACATAAGGCATAGCTAATTGGCTAGATTTTAAACCCCAGAGACTTTTTTTTTTTTTTGCACCACAAAGTTTGTATAATAATTAAGCCCAATATTGTAAAAACTAAAAATATGTGTATAGCATATATAACATAGGCATAGAAAGCCAGGAAGGACTGGCTCTAAGAAAGTATCTAGAGTATCTACAATGTTATTTAATTATGCTAATAGGAACATTTTTAATTTTGAGACTAAAATTTTTAAACTACTTTTGAAAAACTATAAAAAACTTGTAAATGGCCAAAATGTCATTATTTTAAAAATGAAATATGGTGGCCAAGCTAATATTTAATATTTCAATTATACTTTGCAAGTGTTTGGCCTTAAAGGTAGGTATTTTTTTAAAAATATTTTTTAGTTATTGATGAACCTATTTATTTATTTATTTATATGTGGTGCTGAGAATTGAACCCAGTGCCTCACACCTGCTAAGGCAAGCACTCTGCCACTAAGCCACAAACCCCAGCCCAAAGCTAGGTATTTTAAAAAAGTTGCTTGGAAAGGCAAAACTTAATCAGGACAAGATTATAGTTCATTTTTAAATATAGAACATCCCCTAAAAACATCCTCTAACAATGTAGTCATCCTAACTGTGCCTCATTCCTTTGTCATTACATGTAAAGGAAAGTGGCAAGGGGCACCTTTAAGACTTCTATGATGGATTGTCTCCTGTTGGTCCTAATTCCTCTCCAAACTCCAGCCACAGTTTAACCATAAGGTAGTTTTTGTCCCATTTTCTCAGCAAGGTGGTTCCTTTTTATAAGCTAAATTTCTTTGCATTTACACATTTTATCCAAGTTCATGTTTTTGATTAGTCCTTTGGAATTTTTTTAAAAATATTTTTTAGTTTAGTTAGTTTAGTTGGACACAATACCTTTATTTTATTTATTTTTATGTGGTGCTGAGGATCGAATCCAGGGCCTTGCACATGCCAGGCAAGTGCTCTTCTGCTGAGCCATAACCCCAGCCTGTAGTCCTTTGGAATCTTAATAGGGTACATCAACAAAAATAAAAATATCAGTTTTTCCTTTTATATTTTATCATTTGGGAGAGCTCACTACCCTTATTCTGCCAAGATATATCCTTCCACCTAAGGATCCTATATGCATTGAGCATTCACAACTACCTGAACACTCCTTAGAGTAGTAATCTAAGAAGGGAAAAGAAATTCTAAGCAAATTCATGAACAAGATGAGGACTAAACCAAATGTAAGATTTAAGGCTAAAGAGTTTACACTTCAATGCTTCCTAATCTCATGTTACTTATGGGTACTAAAAATGAATTCTTAAGCTAGAATACAGAGTTATTGTATACCTAGAAAATATAAAGTAACCAACCTTTTATTTGTTAAAATTGTTATATCCATGTAAATTAAATGATTTCATCAGTGCAATTCATTGATTTTGGCTCTTGCCATCTTGTGGCATCCAAGATCCTGGCTGAAAGGTTTTACCAGTGCTGGTGGGTGCCTCTGAGGGTTCTTCCTTTCCAAAGTATGGAGCAGAGGCATGCCCTTTAATGTGAGTTTGAACAGGTGGAGGCAAATGTTCCTTGATGGTCTCTTTACTAAGGAGTTTTTCTTTTTCATAAAAATCTTGACTTTTAATTTTCATTTCTTCTCTATATTTCTCATTCTTTAATATTTCCTGCACATATATACATATAAATAGAAAAAATATTAAATTAAAAGCTTAAATACCAAAGAAAGGTTTTATGAAAACAAAAGTCAATAAAAATAAAAAATACATACATGATACTTGCTTTTTCAATTAAATTTTTGGATATATACAGGATAATTTTTTAAAAATTTGATTATCAGTGTTAAAATGATTCTCATTTTATGTTAAGATTTTATGGTAGAAATAGACATGAAGGACCACAGAATAGAAATATTTTCTATCCCAAAATGGAAATAAGCTATTAAACATGAAATATTACACAGGAGCATAAGTCACTTAATGAAAGAATTTGAAAGCTTATCAACTATTTTCTGCCTTAAAATTCTTTTTCTATGGGAACTAAAGTGTTAAAGCTAAGGCCACCTTATGGTTCCAAATCCAAGCCATCTATCTCCCCTTCTTTAGAGTGATAATGGCAGAGGATAGGAATGGAATCTGAGTTCAGTATGCCCTGGACACTAGTTCCAAAGGCACTTTGCTATTGGAAATGCTTCCTCAGATCAGTACAATCTGTGCAGTGCACTTCTGTTTCTCAGATTTGCTATTCTATCTAGAAGGATTTATACCCAAAGTAACAATCTCTTAGCTATTTTACTAAACACAAGACCATCGAATTTAAGAAGCAGCTTTAAATGTACCACTAAAGGCATTTAAGCTTCTGTATTCATCCTTGATTTCAGTGATGCCAAAATTTAAAAAGATGTGCATCTTAAAAACAGATGAAATGTTTTTCTTCTATCTTATTTTTAAGTGAATTTAAAAAATTTCAATACCTTTATTTTATTTATTATTAGTTGGTGCTGTGGATCAAACCTAGTGCCTCACATGTGCTAGACAAGTGCTCTACCACTGAGCTACAACTCTAGCCCATGGATGAAAAATTTTAATGTTGTTTTTGCTTATCTGGGTTTTCTGATTTTTCTTTAGGAATAAAATAAATGTCATTTATAATACAAAAATTAGAACATTAATGTAACTAATATCACAACATTGAAAAAAACAAGTTCTCAAGTTTTTTTTAAAAATTTACCACTTTAAAAAAATGACACTTTAAAGGGCAACATCATGGCATCTATGATGTAATCTTTCTGTTTCTAAAGTGAATTTCAAGTAGTATAGTCCTTTAAAACCATAAGCACCAATATTTAAAATAATGGGTTGAAGTTAAGAGACGGTGGCGTATGCCTATAATTCCAGCTACTTGAGAGGCTCAGGAGGTGATCTCAACTCCTGGGCAACTTAGTGAGACTGTGTCTCAAAAAGTAAAAAGGGCTGTAGCTTAGTGGTAGGGAGTCCCTGGATTCAATCTCCAGTATTCTCCCTGACATGTGAACAAAATTAAAATTTAAAAAATAGCTATAGTGTTATAGACTTATATATGAAGGATGGCCCATCTAATGAAATTTCTCCCTCAAACATATGAGGAAAAGAACAATATTTATAAATGTTATTGTAGTTTTCACAATACAGAGCAAATCCCCATGCATAGTTTAATAACCACAGGAAGTTTAGGGGCAGCTGCTAACAAGTGAGGGTGAGAGTAGAGAAATCAGGCTTTGCTTTTCTTACACCATATAGAACTCTTATGTAAGGTGATTTTACACAAAGGTTATCCTTTCCTGTGATATTGGAAATAATGCAAGTTAGACAAGAATACTTTTTTGGTATTGCCATGTTTTTCAAGTTCCTGTGTCTTCATATGAAGCTCAGTCTGGGGAGCAGAATGGAAGGTTCAGGGCCAGGTTAAACTTACCCTGGTAACTGATCTCAAGTAGCAAGAGGCTACTCAGGCTCACATGGAGCTTGCTTGATCTTGGCAAAATAACATCAGTTACATCCCCCCAAACTGTGCGTGCCCATGCCTACTCTATTTACTTCACCACCATTGCTGCAGTTGCATAGTTGGTACACAGATGTGCCCTCTGAATAACGGCGGATGGGATGTAGCTCTGTGGTAGAGTACTTGACTAGTTTACATGAAGCCCTGGATTCAATCACTAGCACCTCAAAAATAAATAAATAAATAAATAAATAAATAAATAAATAAGAAAAAGAAAAAAGCGTCTCTTATTTCTCTTGCTTTCAAATAATATTTCTTTATTTGACATTACTCTTTTTGAAAAATATTGTTTCTAGTTGTCAATGGACCTTTATTTATTTATTTATATGTGGTATTGAGAATTGAACCCAGTGCCTCATGCATGCTGTTCATCTGCAACTAAAAAAATATAAAACAAAAAAACATTACTTTTCTTACTCAATTTCTGTCTTATAAAATAGCTATTTAGATAATTGAAAAGCCACTAATGATTATGGTGATCATTTTGACATGTGCAGAAGGATTAAAGATTGCAGAGTTGAAAAACATGGAGACTATACTTTTTCCTAGAAAAATTATTTATTATTTTTTGGTATCAGGAATTTAACCCAGGGATGCTTAACCTTTAAGCCACATCCCCAGCCCTTTTTATTTTTAATTTTGAGATGGTCTCACTAAGTTGCATCGGGCCTCACTAACTTGCTGAGGCTGGCCTTGAACTTGTGATGCTCCTGTCTCAGCCTCCTGAGCTGCTGGGATTATAGGCATAAGCTGCTACAATGGGATATTATTATTATTTTGTAAACTAATTGCTACCAGGCAGAACCCTGCTAATAGCTTCTAGGGAAATTAAACAGAACATAAATCATTTATAAAAGGGAATCTAATTTTGTAACCATTTGGTATTAACCAATGAAAGTATGAATTATATTAAGAAAGTCTATTTTAGCATGGAAACTATCCTAAAGCAAAGATTTTTTTTTCCCCCTTAGAATTCCTTGGAACAATATCACCTTGTCTCCATGTATTTATCAGTTTCTTTATGTTCTAGTGTTTTGTGTAGGGACAAATCAGAAGCCAGGGGAGCTTTCTTTATAGTTTGTATTTTAAAAAGACATTTATCATTTTACCTATTGCTTTTCTTCCTGTCAATATTTTTTCTTAAACTAAACAAAAGATGGCTGTTGACATTTTATCACTTTATATTGTGCCATGATTTATTTAACAACTACCCTATTTTTCCCAATATTTCACTTCATTTAAAAAATAACATTGTGATGATTATCCATGTAGATTATTCTTTGACTCAGGGTTCCAACCCAAATTTACCTTTCACTAGCTGTGTGACACCAAGAAAGTCATTTAACTTTCTCAATACTAATTTCTTTCTTTGAAAATGGGGATAAAATTAATTGATAACAGTATTATGTTTCCTAAGATTGTTGACAATATATGACAAGGTAATTATGCTTTTATAAAACTATGATGCCAAATGAAGTATCTTTTTTCTTTCTGTTCCCTTTAAGTAATCTCTATAGAGTTCCTTTAAAGGTTGACAGGTCTATACAGATTACAAATTCTTCCATATTCTAATATAAGCCAAACATTACTATTGGTTTAAAATTATGAATCTTTAAAAAATGTGATTATGTATGTATAGGTGTTTACACTTAAAATACTCATTAGTTACTCTTTCCATTGTTAGATTCCTCTGAAAGCTTTTCAATGGTGGTTAAGAAAATGGGGTCTGAAGTCAGACTACCTGCATACAAATCCCAGGTTTTCCATTTTACTAGCTCTGTGACCCAAGGATTGTTACTTAACCTCTCTCTGCTCAGTTTCTTTATGTGTAAAATGGAGATAACAATACTGTATTCCTCAATGAGCTGCTGTAGAGATTGGGCAAAAACTGGTGGCTGGGTAGTGATAGTACAAATAGGTATAGGTGGATTTCAAAGTAGTGACTGTTTAATTCATTCACTAAAAAAAAATTAAAGTAAAAAAATTCAGTTTGATTGCATTAGCCACATTTCAAGTATTTAACAGCCATCTTGGCTATCATATTGCAAAGTACAGATACAAAATATTTCCATCATTGCAGAAACAGAAACTACTGGACTGTACTAATCTAGATCTATCCTAACAAAACTTAAAAATAATCTTCCAAAAGTTTGGGCTAACACACATGCCAATTAATGGTTCTCCTGAACAAAATCAATATTTTCTAAAGGAAGACAACAAAACCAGACATTAAACAAAATAATATTTCAGTGTTCATCATGCAACCAAGAAGCAAAAAGGAGAAAAGTATGATTGAAAATCAGTTAATGGAAACAGACTCAAATAACAGAAATGACTGAATTAACAGATTTTATCAAAGGTACTATAAAAATGTTCAAAGATTTAAAGGAAAAATGTCCATTAAGAGGAAATAAATGGAAACTTAAAAAGAACTGGGCTTCTAGAAGTGAAAAATAAAATATATAAAATGAAATATTTAATGGAGTGATTAACAGATTAGACACTGCAGAAGAACAATCTGAAAATAAGGCAATGGAAGATATATAAGCTGAAGCAAGTAGTTTTTTTTTTTTTTTTTTTTAAGCTTAAAAACTGAACAGAGCCTCAGGGAGCTGTGGGGCAGTGTCAAGTGGCCTAACATGCAAATGGAGTCACTGAAGAGGAAAGAATGACTAAAAAACCCAAACAGATAAAAATATAAATCTCTATATTCAAGAAGCTCTACAAACCCCAAGCAGAATAATCATAAAATCCAAGTACATCAAAATCAAATTGATAAAAACTAATGATAAAGAGAAAAATCTTAAGCTAACCATGGGGGAGAGGGGACATACACATTTATAGAAGAGACAAATAGCACTGAGTTCTCATCAGAAACAAAGCTACCAGTAAGATAGTGGAATGACTTTAAAGTGCTTTAAGATAAACTGCCAATTTAAAATTCGGAATCCAGTGAAAATATCCTTTAAAAATGAAGAAATAAAAACATTTTCAGACAAAAAAGTGAATTTGTCTCAAGCAAAAGAAACATCTACAAGCCAATCTACTACAAGAAACATCACAGGAACTCCAGTTAAAGGCACATGGTAAAAGATGGAAACCTAAAGCTACACAATAAAATAAACTG